TCCAATGTCTCCCTTTACCCACTTTTCTGTTGTCCGTCACCTTGGGAGGAGGGGGTTATATGTAGATCATTGTGATCAGTTCCACCTTTCTCCCTCTACCCTCCTGGTATCGCTACTCTTATTATTGGTCCTGAAGGTTTCCCTGTGTTGCGCGCTCTTATCTATACCAGTGTACATGCTCTGGTCGAGCCAGGTTTAATTGGGGTCATGATAGTGGGGTCTTTTTCATAGTTTTAATCAGTAAATCTATTTTTATGACTTGAAACTTCAGTATTTAATTTTCAATAGATTTTATTCCATTGTTCTTTATTACATTTTCCTTAACTCTTCTATTTGATGTGTCTTAGCAATTGTATTGTGAACAGTGTTGCACTGATACCTTGGAGCACATTTCTTTTTATTACCATTACCTTGGGTTATTTCCATAAACTATGTTCGCCAAAGTAGAATGAATTGTTCAGATGTTATTTTATGGGCACGTAAAGAAGAGTTTTGCATAGTCCTTGCTGCATTTGTTATCAGGCTTTCCTTCAGGAAAAAACAACAGCTAAGAGTATTACCATTAGCAATATATTAAAGTAGAACTATTTCCCATAATTTTGTGATCACTGAATTTTAAAACATTTATTTTTGTTAGTTTAATAGCTGCTTGAGACTAGATTGCTTACACTGTAATGGAGACAGTGTATTTTTTACATGGTATTTTACTATTTATAAATTCTTAGGAATATGTCATCTTTAATAACTAATTTACTTGAGCTACATAGATACCTTATATACTGTGTCCACATTATTAGGGAACTAATCCTTGAGCTATATTTTGTTACTGTTTTTATTGTGAAAATATATACAGTAAAACATTCGCTAATTCAACAACTCACGTACAGTTCAGTGAAACTGATTATAAAACATACTGCCATTGTTTGATTGCAAGTTATAACAAGTGAACCCCGTAACAGGGTAAAACTGCCCCTGTGAGTTTCCGAGACTCTACCTCTTCAGGAGTAAAAAGCCCCATCTTCTCCCTTCGTGTGGCTGACCTTGCCAGACTGCCACAAAATTGCTTGTATTTATCCCTTAACCACTATCTTTCTCCTAATTATTCTACCACCATTAATGTAAGCTCAGTGCCCTCCTTGACCTGGCTAGCACTAATCTTTGGTTCTAATATACGTAGTTGCTGATGTTATATAAATGAGACCATAAAGCATTTTTCCTTTTATGACTGACTTATTTTGAGTTCAGGTGAAGAATTACACAGAAAATTAGGTTGCCATTGAGTAATTTCTATAGTATTTCCATTCTGAATGTTTTGTTTTTGTGAATCAATTTTCCTGCCCCATCTAACCATCACATCTGTGCTTTCGGGTAAATAGTGACCATTTGCTCACATATAGCTGCTGCTGCTGGCCCCCGCTCCCCCCTGGAGTACAGGGCTCATGAGTGATACTGTTATGGGCAAGTGTGCTGTTTGGCTGAAAGATGACCTGTGGAAGTAGTATGAAAATATAAAGTGTAACTCAAAGTGATAACCCTAGAGGTTCTTCTAGTCACTACTGATCCTCTAAGTCTGGCTTTTAATTTATTTTTATGAGACTGAGTTTTGTAATTTTTTTCTTTTTTGGAACCAAGATGGGGCTTTCTCTTCCTGGAGAGAGTTTGTATCTGTTGTGACTCTGGTCAGAATGATAGGCAGTGATATGCACTATTTAGTTCTTCTGGTCTCTGGATAGATGAGCTGTGGTTTGTGTAGGGAATTAAGTGCTGTAAGTTACATTCTTTGTGTATCAGTACTTCATTTCTCTTTAGGACTGAATAATACTGCATGTGTGTGCATACCACATTTTATTTATAGGTTGATACACATTTAGGGTTTCCCCCACCCCCCAATCTTTTGGCTCTTGTGAAAAAAGCTGCTGTAAACGTTGGTGTACTGGCTGTTTCAGGTGGTATTCTGTGTTCACCCTTTTGAAGAATTGCCAAACTATTTCCCACACTGGTTGTTTTATTTATTGGGGGCTTTTACATCTCATCACAATCCATACATTCTTCCAATGTGTCAGGTACATTTGCACATCTGCCACCATCATCATTTTCAAAACATTCTCTTCCCACTTGAGCCCCCTGACATCAGCTCCCCATATCTCCCCCGCCTGCTCTTCCTTCATGAACCCTTGATAAGTTATAATTTTTGTATATCTCCCATCGCCCCATACCTACTTTTCCGTTATTCCGTCCCCCTGGGAGGAGTGGGGGTGTATTGTAGGAAAAAATTCTCTTATATAGCTGTAAATATTTTACTTTTCATATTTACTCAGGCGTTAGAACTAAGTTGAATAAAGAACATAAGCCTGTGCAAATGAGGTGTACTTATTGTATAGTATTTCTTCAAACAATACAGAGTGTATAAATAAGTCACCTCATCTGTCTGATCCTAAATTCCTGGCTCCAAAGGCAAAAGTATTACCAATTTAGCATATAATTCTGGATGGTTTTTCATGTGCATAAATATCACATTCTAAATAGCAGCAGAGTCACGATCTGTTTACAAAACTACATTGCTCACACCATTTTGTATCTTCCTTTGTAATATGTCTTCTGGTTGTAGATGTCACTACTGGCTGTTTTAATTCTTCTGGGTTCAGTTCTCAGACTTTTTTTAAGGCCTAGTATTCAAATTTACCCTATTAAATTTTGCTCCTGTAAACTGTTGAAAAGTATTATTCCATAAACTTCTCTTTGTTTTACATTGTGATCGACTTAACTTCACTCAGCCAAAGTCTTCAAGCTCTTTTTATAAAGACTATTTATCCTGCTGGAATAGTATCCCACCGTATGTATGTGTATATCCGAGAGGGTATCAAAAATTTCATGGAATAATGAAATTTAAAGATAATGGAGATTTTCTACACACTTTAACTTTGATAGTCCAATTTAACAAATTTGTAATTTTATGTTCTTAATGGTGTCATTTGAAGAGCCGAACTTAAGTAATGAATTGATATATCAATATCTTTTCGATTCAGGCTTTTTTCTATTCTAACTAGATTTTCAATGTATTTTAAAGTTTTTCTTTTTAGGTTTATAATTCATATAAAATTATTTTGCATAGTATATTACGCTGGGATGTCTAGAAAAACAAACCAGTCATTCATTTACGTAATGTTCTACAAAGAAGGCATCTCAGCCGTGTCCTACTCAAGTCCATGGGTCAGAGCCTTCTTCAGGACAGTGAAACGGGAGATCATAAGCTGGTGGGTGCAGAATCCAAGGTTGGTAGAAGCATGGTGGGGCGCTGACAGATCCTACATCGGCTCCCAGGGTCAGCAGCTCACATGGGGCTGTCCAAGGAGGCAGATAGCAGTGGGGTGTGGAGAAAGGGGGAGTTCTCCTATCAGTCTGTGACCTGATTTATAGGTTAGACTAACTGCTACGTATGGGGTAAGGGTCTCTGGTTGTTCAGCTACCATGGGTGGATACTCGTTTCTCATTGAATTATGTTGGCACTTCTGACTTTGCTTACCAGTTTCTATAAAAAAAACTTGCCTGGATTTTAATCAGAATACTGCTTGGAATTTAATCAGTCTTCCAGTTCATTCATGGGGGCTTCAGAAAGGT